TACATTAGGGAGGTGCAGGTGATTGGACACAGGTGGAAACGATTAGACGATCACAGGGGATGATGGGACAAGGCAGGAAGTGAAGTTACCCGGAGACACGATTAGCAGAAAACTACAAAATAAGACAGGAAGTGAACCACACCGTGACACTTATAGAGACAAACCATTACTGCCCTAAACTCACATTAACAAACCTGTGAATATAAGGCCACTGTTTCGAATAAGGGTTAATAATATAATTCACAGCAACTGATAAATTAGCAGTCAACTTGCTAAGTCCTTAAGAGCCAAATTATTGGCTGACTCATACATTACTTTCATTGATGCCGGAGAGCTCTGAGTTTATGGCTGCCCTTCCTCCAGTTCTTTATCCAATCCTTTAGTTTCTTCTTACCTACAAAAGCTACAGCTCCAAAAGTACAGCATGTCACTCGTACTTCATGCAGCATGATTTAGAGAGATTGATCACACACAACGACATTAGTATTTAGTTGAAATTGCAAATAGAACAACACTGAAATGTGAGCCCACATCTGTAATTGGTTTACACGGCACGGCTCATGTATATGTGTCGCTTGGTGTAGAGATGGTAGAAGACTTCTAGAGCTGAATAAGTGTGTGACCAGATGGGCATCTCATGTGTTTTCATTTGTACAGCAGGCCCTGATCAGTTGATCAGATTCCAACTCAATAGCGTTGTGTGTGTGTGTGTGTGTGTGTGTGTGTGTGTGTGTGTCTCTCTCTCTTTGAGTGCGTCTTTGGAGTATCTTCCTCTGATTGTCTTGATCTCGGTGTTCCTCTGCATTGATATTCCCCATTCAGTGACCACTTCAGTGGTGACCAATCCGCCACCCCACCTCCCCCACTCCATGTCCTTTCTCTGATCTACTTCATTTCCTCGTTCTTCCACACTCTATTTTATTGTTTAGGAATCCAAATTAATGCAGGTAAGTGTCTAAAAACATAGGATTCTGATAGTGATATTTCAATAATCAATTTCAATCAAATTGGCTGAAATCGAATGGCTGATATCTATTAAAGTCTCTATATAAGCAGACTGCCTCTTTCCAGTACACTGTTGTGTGTTGATTCAGAGAATGCCTTTTCTTGTTCTTGCTGCAGAGTAGCAAGCAACAACATTTTAATGTTCTCAGCCAGCCACAATTTATAGTGTAAATTAATGGCTGAAAGAGTTTAATTATGCTCTTCCACAGACGATCAGATGTTATCAACCACCTGTCAGTCAACATATGTGTGTGTGACACAGCCAAGTTCCACATTTGCGTTGTCTTTTACTTACATATAATTATTACAAGTGTTTTGTGGTCAATTTTGATTAACAAGTTAAGTGTTAATTAAGTGTAAATTATCACGAATTGATAGTACAAATAATTATACCTCTGAATAATTTTATTGTAACAGCCTTCAATATATTTTCGGAGTACATGTGGAGCTAATTGGTATTCAGCAGCGCAGAGTATTCGGGCATTCATAATATTCCACTGATTTGATGAGACATGGTTTTTGGGTGTTTGCATAAAAAGAGGTTGAGGCATAGTAACCTCATCCATCAGCTCTGTGCTGCCTGTGGCGCATAGGGATTCGCTGTAGCTTTAAGCATTTTAAATTCACGCACCTATAACGCTTCACGGCACCACAAATCACCCGTGAGCTCTCATTCAACACGTGCCACAGTATCAATTAAGCTCCTTCAACGTGCCTTCTCTTTTGACAAGGTGTCTCACTGTGGCAGACAGTGACATCAGAATGACTCATTACCTCTCGGCCTCATCGGCACACCTCATGACAAATAAATTACCGTAGCATTAGCCCGCGGGGCTAAGAGCCGTCGGAATCAATCACCTGAGAGGCATCGCTGCTAGTCGGGCAGTGGACGCGACGCGCCCCGGCGCTGCAATGCTCTGATCCCCTCCCTCCTTGTGAAGGGGAAATTTGGAAGGTAGTTAATCAAAACTTCATTAGCATACAACACGTTGCTCAGTCCACCCGTAGACCCGTGCTCACGATGGACATTTAGTGAGGCCACGTGGTGAGAATAACAAGCTGTTACCACTTCTTGGCGTGTGTGAATTAAGAGACTGCACGGTCGTCCCCTATGTGCCAAGTGAGTTGTCCGACCCCACGAACAGCAAAGGTTATTTAAATTCCACTGTACAAATTCCTAAAAACTAGGACCAAGAATTTAAAAAATGATTATTTGGAAGGATGGTTTTAATCTCGCTTAAGATTTAATTTGTATATGCGAATGTGCAGCCAGCTTTGAATCGATGCGCTAACTAAATCCTCCAATGGGTATGAAAACCAATTGTGTTTGTTAATCGATTATAACCCGGATGCATTGGCTGATGGCACATCCTCGGCTTGACCGTTCCACTCATTCAGATGCGTCCACCCACCCGGGAGCTCGCGTGTGCAGCCACCGCCTCCCTTCGCTCGCCACTAAGCAGCTCCGCCGGAGCCGATACCGGTCGCTCGGTTGTTCTTCACCACAGGCCTCGGCAGAGAGCAAGCTAGCGGGATGGTAACAGCCCGTTGTTTACCTCGCTGCCCGAGGGGTTTCAAAGCTCATAAACTATTAATTCAATACAAAGTCAAATTAATATTGAATTTAGTTAAACGCCTGTGACAGGCAGCTGAGAATGTAGTGTGTGTGTGTGTCAGGAGGGGGCGGAGTGCCTGCGATGAACATGTATGTTTGTGTTGTGTTTAGTAACAAATCAATGTGTCTGTACAAGGGGTTTGAACATGGAAGCAGTAGCTCAGGGGGAAGAGTTATTAGAAAGTCGCCAGTACGACGCCCAAGTTTTCTCGAGGATGATACTGAACGGAGGTCAATCCCCAGGCCCTCTACAGCAGGACTCTGATGTTTTGTCTTTAAGTTGATGTTGTTTTGTCTCTACACTATTTTTTGGGATGTAACCTTCAAGTGCTCTGCGCTGGGATGGGCACTCGATATTATACTTGACCTGGAATATGGTCACAGTCCGTAATACCTCTGCAGTGTCCCGAGTTTACCCTCGATAAGTCCATGAAATGCTCCTTCGTGCTCGCTCTGCTGCTAGATGCACCTGTCAGTGTTTAGTGAGAGGGGCACAGTCTGTGTTACGCAATGACTTTCAAAAGTTCTTTTCTTCAACTTCATTATCAACACTGTTCCCATCTGGATTGGCAAAGTCACACAGCAATTTGCTCTTTTCTTCTGTTTAGATTTTTTTTGTATTATGTTTAATTTGTCTGTGATTGAGACTTGCAGACTTTACGGAGTTTCTTTAGTTGGTATGGATATTCTCTGCAGACGTCCTTGCAGTTTATAATTACCTTCATCTACTACAACTGCTTATTCAAAACGGTCTGCTCTTGTTTCTGCAGACAAAGTGAAACTGATATAGAACGTTGAAAGTGTCCTTTCTATTAGGTGAACATCATCAGATGGATTTTTTCATTAATGTCATTGAAGTAGCTCTCGCCTGTCTGTATTCGGTCATTTGATTAGCAACTGATCCACGACTTCCATCTCCTCGACTACCAGGGCCTGAAATCAGTCAGACAAACTATATCCTTTTTTCCCAAGCTAAATGTCATTGCCTCCTTCCTCGCAGTGACACACCTCCCAAAGATATTTATATTCATGCCATTGAAGTAAAATAGCTGCACTTTTTGCACTTGCACGCCCCATTTTTTGCAAGCGCACTGTGCTCGCTCACTTCAAGTGGATTTCTTTCACTGTAGAGGCCAATGTCAGAGCGAAGAGGAATCTCCAAACGGGTCCAGCTTCACAGACAAATCAAATGCAAGCTGCCACATGTTCAATAGTGTAGAACATGACAACGTACTAGAGTGCACAGTTCTGGCAATTGCTACCTGCATGGCTAACCCCCCCCCCGCCCCTCCCATAGGAGGGAATGTTTGAATGGCAGCGGTTTACTCAGAACTGTAAAAAAAAAAAAGAAGGAAATACGCGATGAATAAATAAAAAATGAGACTGAAATAGGCCAATCCCAGTGGAACAATTGATCTGCGGCTGTAAAGCACACGCAAACACTGTTGTTGCCAGGAAGCATGCTGGTGGTCAAATATGTATAATTGATAGACTTGAGTTTGACACGGCGCTGTAATGTGATCTGGAGCTATAGAGTCCCCACGGTGTGTAGAGCGTAAAGAAGGGACAGGACTGGCAGCTGGGACTCGGTGTAAAGTTGATGTATTGGACAGCTGTATTTTTTTTGCCTGTACCAACCCCCACGGGCAACACATGAAGGAACAATGGCCTTTTCTACTGTAATGGACTTTTACCAAGAGGGACCACTGTGTGCATGTTTCACAAAATGTAACACACTTCCTCACTACACTCAAATACTTGAATTTTGATCAAATTGGGTTTTCCCGTGGCAAAGAAAACACTGCATTAAATATATGCGATCTGCATTCTAATCTATTTGAGTTTTGCTTTTTTTGCAATTTGTTTGTGGGCAATTTGTTACTTCATTGTTTTAAAAATTACCCCGGGCCTATACAGTGCAATGATTACAAACAGAATAGTGTACAGTAGGAGTGTGCGTGTGTGTGCGTGTGTCATTTCTGGATTCAAGAGTATTCTCGTGTTTTTCGTGTCTTTTAGGTTTGGGTCCTTTGTGTGCTTTCCTTTGTGTCTGCCTTACAGTGTTTCTGCTTCTTTGTTCCTCTGTCACTGTGTGTAGTTTAATTGCAGGCCTTTTGAGGTAAAATCGATCGGGGCAACAGGATAACGAAGTTATCAAAGTGTTTCATTGACTGACTGTCTCGTCTCTCTTCTATCTCTTGCCTCCTCCATCTTCCTTTTTCTCATTTCACCGTGCCGATCTCTCTGTGCTTCCCTTCTCTCCCATCCGTTCCCCCCAACTTTTTCATCCGCTATCCATTTTTCCTTTTCCCCTTCCACGTCATTCTCGGTAATCTGTCTCTCCGTTGCCTTTTCTCACATCCGGTCTCTCTCACAACAGGCCGACAGACGTGTTCGCCGGAGAAGTTTGATTGCGGTGGAGCTGCCAGCAAATGCGTTTCGTTGTCATGGCGATGCGATGGAGAGAGGGACTGTGAGAACGGGGCAGATGAGGACCAGTGCGCTGCAGGTAAGCTTATGGGTGGGTGGTGGAACTACGGAGGTATTCTGGAAAGAGTGTTTTCTTGAAGCAGAATGCAAACGTAATGTTGGTTTCCTGTCTTTCCCTGTGGTGGAGCATCTATAAAAAGATTAAAGTTAACAGTCTACATATAAAACTGTTCAGTAAACCGCTCGTATATGAATTAACGATTGGAAACAAATGTTTGGCAGATGATCATTGGTCAATATAGTATTCTCAGTACAATCCTCACTTTCTATTTCTTTTATTTTGTACTGTATTTGATGAAAACAACATAAAAGTACTATTATCTGCCATGTTTTTCATCCCCTCAAATTTACATGATTCTGCTTTCATGGAGCAGCCTACATAAACATCTCGGAATAACATATGACTAAAAACAAACAAGTTCACAGAGATGTATGTCATGCATGCATACTGCACTCACCTTTCTGGATAATGGATGCGTTTCAAGCAAATTTTTGCCTTTTTTTTAATCCTTGTGTGTTTTTGCACAAGGCTGAGCTTGTGTTATAGCAAAATCTACAAAACAGCTTTGTGACCAAACCACAGATACACACACACAATCTTGCTTCATGTGTCATACGTTACATTCACATCGCATTACTGTTTCTACCCTCCATAGTCACAGCTGGGATTGAAGCTTTAAACGGGGAATTGATTTTTAACAGTACAAACATCTGGCCCACAACATTATTGATTACAAACCCTTGTCACCCACCAAGACACACACAGCTTTTTTATGAAAAAATAGATTGCATGTCAAATGTATCCATTGCTAAGCCGTTGCTAGGTTGGAACGACAACAAGGATACTTTAAATGGATATCTACACATAATTGCTTTATGTCAGTACAACTATCCTTGTGTTGGTGTGTGAAAATAATTTTATTTTTGTGAAGTGATTTGGGCAAATTGTAGTTTAAAGGAAAGACTAATTGTGACGTGGGAGAGTCCTCGCCTAGAGGTACAGGGTTGTTTGTACATCTAATCTCAGCTTCCATGATGTTTCCTTCAACGCTCTCATCACTTTGAACACTTTGGGGATAGCGTGATAATCTATCTACAACCATCTACAAAACTACCCTATATATAACTTATAAATTATAATAATAAATACTATTTTTCGATTGTTGCTGATTACCATAATGTGTGTTGCTCTCAAACCATGAATATTGGTTTATTATCAGAAGGTTACTCCAGTGGAAGGGGTACGTTGTGAGCACGTGGCCCACTCGACTCTGCTAATGATGAGTAAGACCGCATTGTTCCTCTTGATTAATTGTATTTTAATCAAGATGGATAGCAACGGTAATAGGAATGCTCATGCTTGGTAAAACCCTCAACATGTCAAGTTGTGAAATCTTAATAAGCACTTCTTAAAGCAGATCAGTTTTATAAATATAATAATTAGAAAAAGTATTTGGTACCGCTCAAGTGGATCCAAATCATGACAGGCTACATTTCATGAATTGTGTGGGAATTATCTTGACATAGAATCTAGATGAATCGGATAGAAACACGTCTCCACTTTGTTGTTCTTTCCCTTCATATTTGCCGTTCTCTCTGTTGTTGGTCCTCACAGTCCCTGAACGTTTCTCTCTGTTGTTAATTCGTCTCCATCTTGCCCGCAACGGTTATAGAGCAGGCCGCCAGCACGAAGAGTGATCACATAAGGGACTTGGTGCCCACGACCTTGTGAAAACAACAGACGCTGTTGATTTAGTCTAGTAACCAGCTTCCATTGTACACCGTCTGTGTCTCTGACCTACAATATAAACTCTTGGTTTGGATCTTCTTCCCCCATCAAAGGCAAAATCTATTCTCCTTCACTCCTTAGTTTAGAAATCTCTCTCTGCGGCCTTTTATCTGTCTGACCTGTGAGCCGTCATCCCTCATTGCAGTTAGAAGGAAAAGTGCTTAATACAGATGTTGAATATTGCATAGGGGTTTTGATGATAATTGATTTCCAGCCTTATGCTTTCATAGTCTATGTATAAGTGTGTGTGTGTGTGTGTGTGTGTGTTATAAAGACCCGTGTTTCATCTATCATTTGATGGTGGCACGCTGTGAATATCAAGTTCCTCTCATCCATGGAGGATGATGTCCATGATATAGGCATCCATGTAATCTCAGTTCACACACAAAAGTCCACATCAAAAGCCTCACAAAGGATCCATTAACGGTATTTTTAGTAAGCCGTAGACGTGTCACAAATATATAAATAAATAAGCGTGGAAAGATAATAAGACCGATTGATCTGCTCGATCACCTCTTTTTTTTCCTGATATTGGACAATGAGGAAACCGCATCAAAATCTCTCTAAAATATGCACACATGTGTATGGACACCTGAGTTGCTTTATGCCGACGCTCAATGTCCCCATTGTTTTCATTCAGTGGTTCGGATTCTTTTTTAATCCTGCTTTTAATGAACAAAAAAAATCCACCAAAGTGAGATTGCAATGTAATTACAAACCTTCTTAAAATATCATATTTTGTTTCATGCTGATAAAGAACAGCGTTTCATTTAGAGAAAAGTAATGCAAATGAGAAACAAATAATACATTAAAAAGATTTCAGCTGTATCAATATACCTTCATTCGCTCCTGTATTTATTGAAACATGGGAGTTTTGTGTAGTATAATTCATAATCATGCTGCTAAACTAAATTGTCACTATGCAGTTTGGAAAGTCTGTAAGAACAGTACCGACATCCACAAAGATATTTATTGCTGCTTTCTTCATCCATTGCATCCCTCCACCCTCCTCCTCCAACTTTGATCTCCTCTGCTCCCCCTCCATCGCTCGCCCCGGTGGCAGCTACAACTGCAGTACAAGCGTTAATTAGAGCTGCTAATTGAGCATATCAGAATGTTGAATAAAACATGGAGCAGGAAGGAGGTTCTTTATTACGTTTAGGGGAGGCCTCTGAAGAAAGTTTATCAGCGCTTAATTTATGTTAATGTGAAATTGTGTTTGTTTAGACACATGCTCCAGGGTGTGTTATGAATAATGGCCATTCTTTGGTCTGTAAATTCCCATTTTAAATCGCAACATAATTGAAAAGGTTCTTTACCTGCTCACCAATCATCTTTAAAATTTGAACAAATTGCCCTATTTAGGTTTATAAAGCATGCAAGTGTTATTTGTGTGTGGCCGGTTAAATTGCTGATTCAGCGAGCGCTTGAACGATCCAGCTTGCTTAAGGTTGGTCACCAAAGAAGTTTACGTTTCCACAAACCGAATGAGATTAAGCTCACAGACACTATGATGAATTAATTTCCCCTTTTCCTCACAATGCATCACAAATGCCTGTTAATGGAAACAAAAATGTGCACGTGAGACTTTAGTTAATTAAATTTTAAAAGTGAAAAATACATTCCCTTTTCTATATTAATCAAATATGTCATGTTTGTGTCCATGCAAGCTGAGAAAATAAACATTTTGTCTCTTTGTGAAGAATATGTTGTACTGAAAGTCTGCCCCTCTGGACAGACAAATTAAAGCCAAAAGACACTCTATAGATGTGTATGATTGTATAAGCTGTTGTGTTTTTTGGTCTTTCTACTCAATAATGCTTTATTCTTACCTCATACACCACATGAACTCAAATCTAATTACAACTGGATTTCAGCCTCCTGAGGTGGAAACCACCCGCTCATGTGCTTGAAAGATTTCATATCATTCATACATCTTAACAAATGTGTGTGTTTAACATTTAATAATGTTTCTACTCCTTGCATGTTACATAATGCAGTTTTAAAACTTTTACAGTGCACACGTAAAACATTAAACCATAACCTAGATCTTTTCTCCATTGCCTCTCCCATAGATGCACAATGATCTGTAAACTGCTAGGAGACGCTGCCGCGGAGACCTGTTGCTCTTTTACAGCAACCCGAGCTGCTGTGTAATATGACAGCGAGCGGCCGCTGGATCGCTGCCCACCAGCTGGTTTATGTTCGTTGATGTTTTATTGAAGGGCAGAGGAGATGGAGACATTGTATGTCTACTTGTCTTTTGTGTCAGTCTGTCGAGGAGTACGAGCAGGGGAGTAAATAAAGTTGCACGTCAAATGTGTCCAGACGTGGATGCACATGTTGTTAAGTGAACACATTGAACCTCCAATCCATTATGTGATTGATAACAGATCAAAGAAAGACAAAGCAGGGTACCACCCACATAAGGGAAATAAAGGAGGTAATGTGCGAGTCCATGCGTTTGCGTTGAGGTATTAGCCTCTTTTATCTTGCTTCACCCACAATCCCACTAAGAGGTGGCTGCATGCAGAGACAGAGTGGTGTCGTCTTGTCTCTGAGTTTCTCTACGTTCTCCATTTATAATCCCCTGACTGCTCTCGCTGCGTGCAATGTGATGTAATAGAGCGCCGGCTCACAATCGGGCTCGTTGCGCAGCCAGAGGCATTTGCAATGCTTCCGAAAGGCTTTGAGTAAATGACTTACTTGCTCACTTTAACCCCCAAAACCCGTCCTCCATCATGCACATGCACACACACATACACACCCTCAGAATCGCATGGGGAAGACCTGCCGCTTTCGGTAGCTGCTTCAGTAGCCGACCATTCTAAAGGGATTTTAGCTGCTAGTTACTGGCAGTAGCATCTGGTAACCAGCCTCAACCTCAGCGTGCAGGTTAATGTAATGCATTCATCGAAATGTGGCAACATGATTGTTTCGTAGTGTTTTATAGTGTGCCTTATTATAGAAGTAAGTTCAGTGGAAATCGTTTTTTCTTTTAGCCACTGGTAGAAGTAATATGTGCTGCCTTTTTATTAATATTTATTTCATTATATATTTTCATCCAGACTCATCTTTTACCTGGTCCAGGAGTGTATTCTTTAACTTGTATCCGTTGTTTTCAAAGCAACTATCAGTGTGTTTACATGATGGTATAGTTGGAATCTTTGCTTAGTCGGACTATGCTATCTTTCGGGGCAATTGCTATAATCCCAATATACATGGCAGTG